TTTTTTTTTTTTTTTTTTTTTTTTTTTTTTTTTGAATCGTTTTCGCCAAAAATATGTCACTGCGCATAGACGATTATATATTTGAGACAGTGTTGGGACAAGGCTCCTTCGGGTATGTATTCGTGTCGAATGAAATTCTCCTGTTGCATAGCATCGTCTACTCTTTCCAGATCTGTTTATTTAGTACGACGGAAGAAAGATTCCAAACCATTCGTTGTCAAGGAACAAATTCTCGATGATGTAAATGCATTACCTTTTAAGGTGAGGAGATTTCTTAATTGAACAGTGGTAACGTATGCGCATAATTTTGTCTCTTGATCTTAAATACAAGTGTGTGCATATTGGAATCATTAGAACATATTAGAGGAAGTGAAATGTTTGCATACGTTGAGGCACACTAACATAGTGGCATACTATGGAGCCTGGATAGAGAACAATCACAGTTACATTCTTATGGAGTATGCAACGCGTGGCACTTTGAAAGATCTATTAGAAAACAACGAGACGCCGCTCAAGGAGGAAGTAAGAGCCCAAGGTCTCTTTGATATTTTCAACTCGTTGCAACATATAAATACATATTAACATATCATTTATGCGTGAAACTTAGGATGCGCTGTACTTGTTCTCCCAAGTCGTTCTAGGAGTTCATCACATTCATTTCAAAAGGATCCTTCACCGTGACCTGAAGCCAGAGAACATTATGCTGACTGGAAGCCGCGGCGACATTGTGAAAATTGGTGATTTCGGCGTCTCGAAGAATTTCGCCGAGTATCATTCACTGTAAACAAAAAAAAATAACTTCATCGAATCTCTGTTAGACAGTTTTATGTACAATTTTACTGAATATTACTTCTCGTATACGTAGATTAACGAATTCGTCCATCGTGTGCCGTGCCGGATCTTTCCGTTATATGGCTCCGGAAATGCTGAGGGACCAGTCTTACGATTTCAAATGCGACGTATGGAGCATGGGTGTCATTCTCTACGAGATGGTCGCGAAGAGACATCCTTTCCCCGCTACGGTAAAAATCACGTCAGAAATCCGTGTTTTTGTCACGATGGAAATCATTTCCAACTTTACGTCGATGCTTCCTTTTTTTCCTTCGTCGTATGCACACCGATTTTCAGACTCTAACGGATATCGTACGAATGATCTGCGAGGAGAGCCCACGACCTCTCCCCGAGGGAACGTCGACGCCTATTATTAGTCTGATATCAAAAATGTTGAGGAAAGATTCGCTTCACCGGCCAAAGATAGACCAATTGGTCGTTTGCCCTTACCTGGTGCCTTTCATCATTAGAATATACTTGAACCTGGGACGAACATCGAACGTTGTTAACAAGAGAAACGGGAACTACGATCCGGAAATATTTCTGAGATTTCTAAAATCGCAAGTATTCAATAGTACAATGTGTACATTTTTTTTTCTGTAGGCAACTATCTTGTTCATTTGCATTCAAATAATATACATGTGCAGTAATTTGCATCATATGCTATCCGGAAATATTTCTGAGATTTCTAAAATCGCAAGTATTCAACAGTACAATGTGTACATTTTTTTTCT